GGATTAAAGCTGCTAACTTCTTGTCTCAGCTGGGTCATAAACTTGACCAGGGCTTTTATTTTCCCTGCTACTGGGAAGAACCAGAATGTGGATGGTTTTATGATGCACCTGGGTTTTTCAGTCGTTTTGGTTCTTCTTAGTGCCTTCCAAAATATTCTCCAGTGACTCTTTTTCTGCGCCTCAAGTATTCCTCTGTCTCTGCATCAGCTTCTAGGAGTGTGCTGTTCTCCTTTTATGAAGCTCATCACTCTCTGCACGTAAGGTCCTACCTCATGCTTTGAAAGAAGAGGGAATAGCTTTTTTTTTTCTCCTCTCTGAGCCTCTCAGAGTGCTGCCTGAGCTCTCCTTGTGCCAGCTGCTCCATGCGAGAGCAGGAGCGACAGAGAAGATGCCTGCCATTCATCCTTCTTCCCCAGGAGGCCCTATGGGATGTTTTTGTTCTCGATGTGCGGTGATCCTTCACGTATTTAGTAAATCTCCCCCAGCTGGGACGTCTGTTCCATGGCGATAGAAGAGCCAAAATGCCCTGGTTTGGGATCACCTCCACTAATAGCAGAGCCTGCTCCTCTGAAATTAATTTCTAAACCAGAGCAATACTATTGAAGGATTAATGTAAGATCAGAGTATTTATATTAAAATACCTTATAATGTGAAAGAAATACATGCTCTTGGGTTATATAACTAGAAGCGCGTTTTAGCTGTTCTATTAATGAAAGGTTTTCTTTGCCTAATGCTAATGAAGAGACTGGATTTTGTGCGAGTGGGACTAGAGCCTTCTGAATTCCCAAGTGCTTTTTAATTCTAGTGTAAACAGTAGTGTGCAGCCTATGCTTCACACCAGTGCTTGTTTGGGCCCTTGCATGGATCATCAGGCCCTTGCCCTGACCATCACGGTGCTTAGCATCTGTACAAAAAATCAACTGTCCCACAGTGGCGACTTTGATAACCCATTAATTTCAATACATTATGCTCAAAACTAGATAGTTTAATCTGGGGAAGTTGCATGAAGTTTCATTTCAGGAGCAGCTAACATCGTGACTAGTGGGCTGGTGTTTGAAATGTAATCTAAACTGTTAGTACACATCTACGTGTTTATATAGACAGTCACAAGACACATTGGCAAATACACACTATGCATTTACTATGATTTTTCTTTCATTGACAACTGCAGCTTATGGCCAGATTCCAATGTAAATTTCTACACATGCACATATACGCACACTCTGATATAGATACAGATGTAGATGATACTGATATTGATATAGATATAATTTGTATGGTTGTTAATTAATTTGGAACGTTTTCTGTAAAACGTCTTCTCACTGATGTGCCAGTGTATTCTGCTTGGCTAGTCTTTAAGCACTGAGGCTGTCTGTGACAGTAGTTTGCATAATCGATGATGGGAGTCCGTTGAAATTAAGCCAATAAGTCTGTGATGAGTTTGCTTTGTCAAATAGGGTAACAGATGTTATTACTTAATTCTTTGCTGAGTATTTCCCACAGTGGGTAGCTGTGGAGTTTAACGTAGCCGTGTAGGTACGAGCAAGGGTGACGCAAGGGGGTCGTTTACACCGACGAGAACAAGTGCACATCTGTATTCAGAGTGGCTCAGGCATGTTCACTGTATAGCTGACTTGATACTCTTTTACTGAACAGTGAAGAAAGGGGAGACTGAAGGCCATGCCCAGTTGAATATGAATATTTTTATGAACTGCTTCTTATCTTTATTATGAGCTGACTCCTCAGCCATTCCTAGTGTGATTGAACACTGTATATTAGGCACTGGGAGCTCTGAAATGCTGCTATATTTAATCCATAAATGTCCACATTTGAAAACAATTTCCTAAGATAATTTTTATAATTGTCCAACTGAAACGAATGTGCATGACCTATCTGTTTTTACTTATATCATTATTCTAGAGACATGACGTCCTTTTCCCTGAAAGAAAAATTTGTGCCACGACTGCTGCACAGCATCCCCCAGTTCTCTGTGTAGCATTCGAATGGTGTCACCTAAACAGTGCTGAGGATCAGGTAGAAGAAATCTTAAGGTCTTCCAACCTCAGATTAGTTAAAAGGCTGATGGAGAGTCACGAACAGAAGGTTAAACAGAAGGTTGTAAACTGTGAGTGCGGTGGGGATGGCTGCACTCGTAGTTACTAGCGCCTCAGAAACTAAATGTGTGTCAGGCTGCTGTTAAAGGTTGTCTGCCAGATGAAGAAGCCATTCAGTTGGTAATACAAGAAGGCAACACCCTGAAAGATGCACAAACCAGAAGAAAATTAATCAGGATAGTGAAAACAGATGCAGAAGTCAGGTAGTCACAAGGAGGAGCAGCAACAGACTGGTGGAAGTTTCTCGCCCAGTCTGCGTAAGGGAAGCTGCGGATGTCATACAAAGACGCGCTGTTCTCATTTCCCTGCATTTGCTTCGTACTCCTGTTTATTTCACATCCAACACATTTACATATCCAGGGATGAAATGGAAATGATTGATGCAAAGGAGGTATTTTTGTTAATTGTTGTTGCTCTGACTGGGACTGCTGGAGATGGGTGAGGAAAGACAGAACTGTTATTAGAGGTATGAATAATTGTCAAGAGCAACTTTTAAACCCATCTGTTACCACACATCAACATGCAAAATTATCCAAAGAGGGGAGGGGCAGAAATACAAGGACTAAGCCAACACCACGTCTCTATCAATGTAGAAGTTGGCAACTGCCTCTGAAACTTTGTCCATTTTTTTTTCATTTCTGCTCCCTTGGCGCTTCAATCATTTTCTGTCACAACCCTGTCAGTGCCTGCTGGATGTTACAATAACAGCGCCTTACGCTCAGAGCTGGTCGGTGTTTGAGAGTTGGGCTGCTTTATCTGCACAACACTAGTGAAATGCGTCCACTTTTTGTCCTGTTAATTGGAAAGCAATTCTTAATGTGCTCTCACACATGCAAGGTAGAACCAAAATGAGATGAGCATCCGATTTGAGAAGGGAATGTGTGCTTGAAGTGTTTAAAGAGAGTGATTTTGGGAGTGGAACTATACCGCAGAGCACACAGGAGGACTTCTGGTACTTTCTGCTCTGCAGGAGTAGAAGAGGGATTTTAGAAATACCTGTCTACAAATGGTTGCGTGATCCTTGGGTTCACTGTTGATATGGGCTCTGTAAGTAACTGAAGTGGATCAAAACAGCTGAAGTGCAGTTTGGTCATGTGTGAGCCGCAGCCAGAAAACCCAAGCTCCAAATCATTTTGGAAATATCATCCTCCAGAGTATAATCTGATGCTAACACAACTCATGGCTTCCAATGCAAGTGTTAATGCAAATACAGCCGTTGCACTCCCTACTTTATATCCTTCCACCTGTAACCCTTCTGCTGTGAAATAATCCTTGAAACAGCTGTTCCCATTAGATAGTAGTTCAAGAAATGACCCTGCGGCAGAACAGAGTCTGTAGTTTGGCCTCATAACCTTATTCCAGAAAATATATTACAGATCCTCTAGGTGAAGAACTCAGAGTGAATAAGGACAAGCATTCAGCCCTGTTTCCTTTTGCTTTGTCTGCATTGGGGAATATATGTGCATTTTTAGGACTATGTGGGCAAATACCTATTTCTATGACAAACCTGAGGTTTATGGAGAAGTTACAGGGAATCTTTAGTGCCAGAAAATGGGTGATACCTGAAAAAGAAAGGTAATTGTCTTGGAGATTGTTACAAATTTTGAGATTTTTCATTTAACTGGAGTTAGCTCTTGTATGAGATGGCCCTCACAAAGTGCTGGTTTGTTTACAGGGTGATTTGTCTCCACCAAGCTTGCCTCCTGCTTACTTGCTTCATCATTCTCTAGGCTCAAGAAAGAGTACTGAGATCAGACTTAAGATTTCTTAAGAAATCTTAGGGCTCATGATTTATTAATATATTGTTTGCAGTCAGATGAGTCATGCAAACTCACAAGCCTATTTTTGTACCAGACTGTGTGTTAATTTTAGTCATGAATCTTCTGCTGGTTATTCTAGCTGACAGAAATCATAAGTATTTTGGGTTTGCTTTATCTTTATGATATCACCCTGTAATTCAGGTGAGTTGTTATTGAATAAAACATTTCTCAGTAAAAAACCTCAAATCTGTGAAAACCTGCTTGAAGCATACTCAATTGCAGTCCTTTCAGATTGCCATAAATAGAGGTGCAAACTGAATTCAATAGCTAAAAGATGAATTGACAATGTGAGTTCTGCAGTTATTTGCTCTATTTCAAATCAATATTTCTTGGTGTCTCTTTTGTATTCTTGACAGGTGAGGTTGAATAATGATAATCTTTATATCAACAAATGCTTTTGTACTACACAATTATAACTAATTTCAATCAAGCACTTGTCTAAAATTAAGTCATATGAATGGATTTTGGGTCTCTCATTATCTTCACCCCAACCCATTTAATAATAGGGTTCTTCTTAAGTAGGTGGCTCATGCCAGTCTTCCACATGGTGTTATTTTTAGCACTTGCAGCATCCACATGAAATTGCTCGTGCTTCTCTCATATTGTGACCAAGCGCTCTATGGATTATCATCTTGTGCATCTTGTGAGACATGCATGTCTCAGTCCAGAAGAGAAGTGGCAAGATTATATAAATCTCTTTTCCCACTGTTTCTGATATTACTGAGGGGTAGCATTTTGAAGTAGAGGGAAGTACACTTCAGTTAATTGACTTCTACATAAAAGAACTACTACTGAACAGCTGATAGGTCAAAGTAATTCCATTTCTCTGATAGCTGCTTACTTCCTTTAATCTCTCTCTCTTTCTCCCAATTTACCTTGTATTTTATTCACAGTATTTATGAAGCTCTAAGCTTTTTACTCTCTCAGAAGTAGTCACTTAAAGTGCCTACATTACACCAGAAAAAGTGAAGGAGGGAGTGGTGGCAGTGGCAGGAAATCGTTTTATTGGAGAATAAAAAAGTGAAATCCACTGAATCTTAAAACTGTGTTTAATGATATGTTTCAGGAACTTCTATTACATCACGATGCTGAGGGATCCGGTGTCACGGTACTTGAGTGAATGGAAGCATGTCCAGAGGGGTGCGACGTGGAAAACTTCCCTTCATATGTGTGACGGAAGAAGCCCAACACCAGATGAGCTGCCTACCTGTTACGAAGGAGATGACTGGTCTGGAGTCAGTTTACAGGAATTCATGGATTGTAGCTACAACTTGGCCAACAACCGCCAGGTGCGCATGCTGGCAGACCTCAGCCTGGTGGGATGCTACAACTTGACTTTTATGAATGAAAGTGAAAGAAATATGATCCTTCTCCAAAGCGCCAAGAACAATCTGAAAAATATGGCCTTCTTTGGGCTCACAGAATTTCAGAGGAAAACGCAGTATCTCTTTGAGAGGACATTCAACCTGAAATTCATTTCCCCGTTCACCCAATTCAATGTTACACGGGCCTCCAACGTGGACATTGGTGAGGATGTGCGGCAACGGATAGAGGAGCTGAATTTCTTGGACGTGCAGCTGTACGACTATGCGAAGGACCTGTTCCTGCAACGCTTCCAGTACTCCAAGCAAGAGGAGCATCAGAAGAACCGGCTAAAGAGGCGAGAGGAGCGGCGGCTGCTGCGGGAGCAGAGAGCTCACCAGTGGCCAAGGGAAGAGGCAGCAGAAGTAGCCGTTACTGAAGATTATAATAGTCAGGTCGCAAGGTGGTGATGCTTCTCCATCTTGACTAACCAATGAGAGGATCAGAGAGTTTGTGCAACTTGGCTACCTGGGAATTAGCCAAGGAAGGCCAACCGCTTTGGTAAACGAGACCATGTCTGACAGCTACCCCTCCTTGTCTCAGTTTTTCTTGGTTTCTGCCAGTGAGAATGTATTTTTTTCTTAATAGGTATTGATTAGTGTTATTAAATGGCAGTAGAATAGATTCCTGTCCAAAAAGACTTCTTCAAAGCCCTAAGCTAGGAGGATGGATTGAAGAGAGAGCTATATCCTTCGCGTTAACAGATGTACGCTGTACAATCTGCGCTACCAAAACTTGTGCAGACATGAATGAAAAATTGGGAAAAAATACCTGGTTTGGTTCCTCTGTGACATGAGAGCTGGTTTATTTCATACTGTCCTTTGCAACTGTAGTGCGTAGTTTTCTAGTGAATGCAGTGGAGGAAAGCGCATTGCCCTTCAAATTTCTACGTGCTGTGTTTTGATTAAGGGAACAACTTGCTGAGGTGATTAAAAAAGACCTAGGAAATGTGGGATTGGGGCATCACTTATTCTGTTCTGTTAGCCAGCAAGCAGAGATGATTTATAAGTGAAGTGATGGAGGGGTTAGCTTATTTCTCCGCAGATGTTGAGACTTACTGAACCCAGCCAGGTAGCAGCTATCTTTCTGAGTGTGTGTGGCAAAGGGAAAGCCTTGAGAAATTAGGTCCATGTGGCAGCTGAGCACACATTGTGGAGATTATCTGGCTGGAGGCAATGAAATCAGCCTTCACATTCACAAAAGGTGAAGAGGGGCCAAGCAAACTACAGGGAAGAGGAAAGAGAGAGCAGGAAAAGCTTAAATATTAGTGTGACATTTTCCAGATTTGCTGTAAAAGCCTGGAGATATATTGTCTGTGAAGGTGGGCAGGTTTATGATATTGTCTGTTAAAATACACTGATGCCAAGTGAATACAACTTAAATTGGTTTTCTCTCTAACTACGGTAGTGGCTAGACAAAAAAAAATCAGCTTTCATTTTTATAGGATGCATAATGGATATGTGGAAAGTCTTGATATTTATTACTCTGTATGAAGATTCTTTGTAAATTTATTGTTTTCATGATGAGAGATCTGTATCTGTTTTTCTTCCTTGTCTAGAAAAAGATTCAATGGGTTTTTCCTCCATGTGTTACATTCTTGTGGCTAAACTGCATCTATTTATTCCAAGATTTTATGTTGTTCCATTCGTAACAGTGAAATTTTAAAAAGAGGGTCCTGTGCACCATAGATCTTTTGAGACAGTTTTTTTCCTTCTTCTTCTAGCATAAATGTAAAGCATTAGGAGGAAATTTCTCTAAGTGCCTCAACGTGGCTGCTAAATCGAGATGCTGAAAGTATATTATTGCATGCATGAATGGCTTTTACCTTACAGATTTGCTAATTAGAATTTCCGGAGTACCTGATGTGGATGCACATTTCTCATTTATTTTCAAAATTGAAGGTTTTTATCCAGTCAGTAAAAAAATAAGAGGCTGAATTTGAAAATCTCTCCCTTCATTTCCAAGTCTTTTTTTTTTAGTACATGCTGTATCTTCTTTTCTTCTGACAATGCTATTGCTGCTTATCTATGCACAATATCAAAAATATGATCTAACGATCCTGTTGAGAGTTAAAGCATACAATAATACATTAAACATGGAATATCATAATGCCTGTTAAGAAGTGAAGAGGGCTACCGGGATGGTGCCTCATTATCAAGGTAGTTTATTAGCAATATGCTGCTTAATGCCCGATCGTCCATGTGCTACTTTTGGGGTGAGTAGCGGTGGGGTTTGGTCCCTAATATCTGTTCCACTGGTGGATCACGTCCATCACCTCCCACCTCCGTGTTCAGAAGGGAAAACGAAGGACTGCAGATTGTTATTCTCCTGCCCAAGCATGAGATGTCTGCCTTAGAGACGAGTGAGGAGCTCTCTAGACTCCCTGGACGGAGCTGCTTGGATCCCCATCGCCTGGAAGAGGCGCTCAGACAGCTCGCTCACGGGTGGACGCCAACCTTCGGAGTTCTAAATCGCAATGTTTGCGGTCTAGGACTGCAGCTCACTCCGGGTGTCCTGCCTGCCGGACGGCGAGGCGGTGGAGAGCTGAGCCTGGTCCGTATTATTGCACCTTTAGTGCAGTGCAGGTAATCTGCAGTGCTCTGATGTCTTACTCGCTGGCACCGGGGCTTCAGGGTGGGCTGGCCGTGGCCCTGTGGAGGGAAGGAGCTTTTTGGCCGGCGATGCGGGGATGACAGGGAGCTGTTGCATCTCTCTGTTCCCAGGCCCGTTGCTGCATCTTGCTGCAGACCCCGCAGCAGGAGAGGGGAAGGATGCCTTTGGCGCCTGATAACCTGATGTCCAGGATTTGCAGGCGTGCTCCTCGTTTCCATGAGCACAGGGGGGCTAGGGATGCTGGGGGGACCCCGAAGGGTCCCCCAGCAGGGGCAGGGGCAGGGTGGGCACTGGTGTGGGAGAGGCAGGGCTGGCAGGCAGGGCATGGGGGCTTGGCAGGAGGAAGGGCACGCAGGAGAAAAGCCAGGCACGAGGGAGGAAAGATGCAAGACCGAATTCACGTTAAGGAGGAAGGAAAGCAAGGAAGTAGAACCGCTCCCAGCCCGTCTTTTGTTGTAAAGCATCCCTTTTTCCTCCTAAGCACAAAAAAAGGGTCCCCTTCCTCACGTCCCTGCCTCTTTCCCCAGCAGGCTACCTCTCCGCACCGCTCACAGCAATGGGGGCCTTGCTTTTCATTTAGAAAATTCAGTGTTATCTTTTCAGGCGAGAGGAGACAGAGCTCAGAAATGGTTCCCTGGAGCCTCACCAGTGACTGTAAGTATCAGTTTCAGCTGTCTAAGTACACCAACTGTTCCCCAGACTATTCCTTCTGCCTGACACAAAACAAAGCCTAATGAGGAAAATCGAAGCAGTCTTTGGGCGGTTTACATTAGCTTTAATAGTTTGGCAATACCTTAATGCAACGCCTAACCTTTTCGTCAGTCATTTCCCAGGAGACAAGATTAGGGTCCTGAAGAGCCGTTAATGTGCTGTAGCATCTATGTTAACGGGATTTGCCTTAATGCTTGGGATTTAGTTAAAATTGAAGTTGGTTTGTTGGTTGGTTTGGTTTTTTTTTTTCCCTGGAGCCTGTGTGGCAGATATCCCTGGTTGTGCAGGAGTAGTTGGGGGTGGGAGGCAGCCAGTGGCTGAGATCTTGTCCGGAGCCCCTGGGACTGAAGGATCTGGCACCTCCTTCCCCAGCTCCAGCGGTAGATCCAGCAAGCTCACTGCACCGAGAATACTGGTTTTGTTAGCAGAATTTCCTGGCACATGACAAATAAAGCAGTTTGGAAATACTTTCAGGCTGACTTCTAAGACACAGGCTTGCAGGTTTTTTCCTCTTGGGCGCTGCGCCTGAAATAACGTAACGCAAAAGCAAAATAAAGGCCCTGGTTCATATCGCTGTTATTCCAGGTTTTCATTGCTCTGACAGCACGGACTTCACTGTAATTGCACTGGCTTGTGTAAGATCGGAGCACAGCATGTTTCTTTCAAAACCTTCATGAGCAGCAACACTATAGGATTTCTGTCCATCTTCCTGGCATTATTTTGTTGCTTAAACAAGGCAATTTGGCTTCTGCTACTGTGGTGCTGAAACAAATCTCATTCTTTTGTAATGGAGATGTACTTGCTAATCTCTCCCATCACATCCTTGGCACTGGCTGCCTTTTCCAGTTACAATTCACTGCAGGCTTGGAGCAGACAGAGAAACATGCTGTGTCATTAAAACTTGTTCCTGGTAATTTGATGTCTAGTCCAAGAACTCAGCTTATTGCCTATGGGCCATACTTTATTAAGGAATGAAAATTTGCCCTCTCTTCCCCACTCATCAGTGCTAACAATAAAAAGCTTTTTCACTGTGGGGAAAGAAAACACCACTGTTTCTGATGGTCAGTATTCTTCACTGCAGCTGTGTTAATAGTGAGGCTGCGATAGCCTTGCTAGGGATTCTACCCAATATGCGGTAGTTATTTGCAGTTCACTAAAAACAGAAATACAGAACAAAAAAGTGATCGGAGTCAGATCCAGAGCCAAACTTCCTAACTACAGCATATCCATTCAACCAAACCAAATGGCAGGTCACATCACCTTTGTGAAACATCTGGAGGTGTTTCAGATTTGACGTCCGCTACTAATCTGGGATGTTTCTCAAGTAGGTCTTCTCGTTAACACATGCTTCCTTCTGCACCGGTGGGTTCTTGTTTCACACCTGCAGTCTTCTATCAGTTATGAGCACTGATGTTATAAAACTTACTGCACTGACACTTTTTTTTCCTCTGTTGCTGTTCCTCTGATATACGTGGAATTGCTCTTTTTTGGTCTGGGGTAAGGAATATCTTGTTTCCAGGCCGGTGGAGACTACCCTGTATGAGATGAACAATCACAATAAAATCATTCTGCTGGAGCAGATTGCTGTATCCTCTCTACATGTGGCAAAAGCATACTCGGAAAAGGTAACCAGTTTGCACTGAAACACTTCTTTGGTTCTCGTAATACTTTCTTTGTGAATATTTGTGGAGGGAAATGGGTTCCATAGCCTACAATGTCCTTGGCTTTCTTCTTGGCCGTATCACTGGCTCTGTGATTTCAAATGAATGTTGGAAGTGGAAAAAAAAAAAAATATCAAGAGTTCCCATCAGTTGCCATATTTAAGATGAAAGGATAAATTAATAGGCTGTAAATTACTTTATTCTTTAGGAATTTTCCTTCTGTTTATGTGCAATAATGTGTGTGAATTCTGCTACTAAGAGATTGTATTGTGAGTAACCATATCTACTTTTATTCCTATTTACAAGATAGTTTGTAGACCTAGGGATTTTCATTGATGTAAAGCACAATTTAATGAATTATTTAATGTGTTTAACCATTGTGATGTCAGAAGCAGTTGTTTTCATATATTTATTTGTTGGTGGTTTTCTGTAAAATGATGCTCATTAAGAAATCTGTTAAAAATGAAGAAGTTTTGTTGAATATTGTTGGGTCCATAAATTACTTATGAGCAACAAATAAACATTGTTTGCGTTTTTGAAACACTAAAGGTTCCATCTTATCTACATAGCCATAAAAATGACTAAAAATGCTTCTGTCGGGCCAGTTTCAAGCATTAGTAAAGATCCACTGTGACCATAATTATGTTTTTTAACAACATGTACAGGGAGGGAAAGCGTGTTGATGTAACTTGCT